TTCCAAACAACCCTGCTTATTATTCCACAAAATCAACATATCATCAGTGAATAGATATATTTAACAAAACATAATCGTAACGTTCCGTTATAGTTGCAAGAAGATATAGAAAATTATACGAGAGTACGACTCGATCCAAATGCATCGACTGAAGAAAGATGCACACCTCGGATATTTAACTGTCAACCTGATAGACAATATGCTCATGTTAAACCGACGCGTCCAGTAGTTCTGAAGCGCCAGAAAATAGAAACCTTAAACGAAATCCTACAAACTGAAACAGTAATCGATAGTAGCATGGAATGTGAATCCACAGAATCTATTACAATCGAGTCGTTGCATATTGACACCAACATTGGTAATTCAAGTAATATTAAAATGATTATCGAGCATATAATTTTCATTGAGTTAAACTATGTATAAATAAGATATTAATTATTCACCCGCAGATGATTTTTCGACCTTCTCAGTTTCCTCGTTGACGAGCATCGATACAGCATACACGCCTTTATTGTTTACTCTGTGCTCAGGATAAACCTTTCCTCTGATATGGCATAAGCTTTTTTCCCGTTTCAATTCAACATATCCAACTGCTGGATCGCCGTTAGTTTTCACCTTCAGCTCTATCGAAATGTACATCGACAAGATGACAAGAGTGTATTAAAGGTTATGTCATGTGTTGTATATAATACTCAAATTAATATACTTTGATATATCGTTTCATACTGTATCTTGTATCTGTCTATAAATTTTATAATTTATTTCCTGTTATTACAAGTTTTTAAAAATATACTTACTTCTTAGCTTTTAAGGTGGAAGCACATAAAATTACAGGAGCCATAGGCAGAATGCAGAAGCCATAGCGCATGCGCTGTGGTATTACTTTATCTGCCTATAGCAGAATGGCAGATATCATAGCGCATGCGCTATGGTTTCTGTATTCTGCCCATGGCTCCTGGATTTTCAATCTACATAAAAATACATAATGCATAGCCACAGGCATAGGCACATACATTCTCCTTGTAGTCGGTCCTTCTAGAAAAGTGATCAAGAACAAAGAACGGATTTATATTGATTAACACGTAAGTATTCTCATTATTTAAGTATCAACGTAATGAAATTACGAACTGACAGTGACCGTATATAATTATTAGTGTGAATTGTCTCAGTTTCGTAAACATAGTGTTTTGAGGTTAATTTGATTTTGTGTGCCGAAGTATCCAAATTGCTTTCTACTTTGAAGGCTCAGAGCTCCGCGACTAACAAGACGCAAGCAAACTCGAATCAAGACGCGTCGAAAGCTAAATCGGCGCAAGATCCGAAGACGGATAGCGAGACGTCGTCGAGTCCGAGGCGATCACCAGAAATTGTAATTTATTGTAAAATAAACGCATCTCATACTTTTCGGTAAGTTATACAGTTTAGGTGTAAAAATTCATTATTAAAACATTTTCTTGATTTGGTTAATTTTCTCGAATAATACTTTATTATTTGTATGTATCATTGAATATTTTTCACTTATTTTGATATTTGATGTTTGCGCTGTTTGGCCATTCTTTAACGTTTTTGCAATTAATTCATACAATTCTGAATGTGATTTTAATTCGAGAAGACTGCATTAGATTGAATTACATTTGTCTTTTCACAGAAATGGATGATTACGATTTGTTGTTAATTGCTCTGGTCAACATGGGAGCACTTTTGGTGCAACGTCGTAGAAACCGTGAACGTCATCGTCGCCGCCGCGCCGTCGGCGTGTCTGGGTACGACCAATTAACACAAGGAGAAGACAGCAAGGAGCGTTTTACAATCTTTTTCAGGAGATGAAAACAGATGAGCAAATGTTCCACAAGTATACACGTATGACACTGCCAACATTCCAGCACTTGATGGACATTGTTAATCCAAGTTTAATTAAACGAAGTCCACGGGCACTTGAACCAGAGCAAAGAGTTGCTTTTACATTGCGGTATATGTTCGGATTACTCGTAGTCTAACAATACATATGTGTAAAAACAGTTTGGCAATTAATATTATAATATTGATAATGATGTTACAGATTTCTGATTGGAGGCAAAGTTCCAGCAGTTGCTTTTGCCTATCGTGTTGGTTTATCAACAGTACATAAAATAATTAAAGAGACGTGTGACGTATTTGAAAGACTTTCTTGGTCCTATCTATCAACGAACTCCTTCAAGAGAAGAATATTTACAAATTGCTGAGGGTTTTTGGACATTATGGAATTTTCCACATTGCTTGGGGGCAATTGATGGAAACCGTGTCAATGCTCAATGCCCCCCTAATTCTGGTACGCTGTATTTTAATTATCACATACGATACAGCATCGTACTTTTGGCTGTGTGTGATCACAATTATCAATTCACTTTGGTGGATATTGGGTCAATAGGGAAGAACAGTGATGCGGGAATTTATGGGAACAGCTACTTGAATGTGACAAATGAGATGCTGGATATTCCAGAAGAAACCAGTTGCTTAAGCGGAACCGATATACAAGTGCCTTATTTTTTTATTGGGGATGAAGCATTCCCCATTGGAAAGCATTTGATGCGGCCATATGCTGGACGGTATTTGGGGGAACGCAAAAACATATTTAATTATAGACTTTCGCGAGCCCGGCGTATAATAGAAAATACATTTGGGATTTTGGCAAAAAAGTGGGGTATATATAACAGACCGATCGCTGCGATTCCTGAAAATATCAATAAATATATTTTGGCAACTGTATGTTTGCACAATTTCTTAAGAAACAAAGAAGGTAATATTTTACAATTTGAAAACAATGATGAAATTATTGAAAATAACGAAAATGGTGCATTTGCGACGCACATTAAAGACTCTCTTTGCAATTATTTTATGACCCCAAATGGAATGGTCAATTAGCAGCATGATCATGTAACAAGAGGACAAAATCAAGACTTTATCTACATGTAAACATTTGATCGATTGATTACACACGTATCATATTGTGAAATGTAATGCTAATATGTATTTATTATGTGAATATAAAATAAATAGTACAAAATTTCTTTAATATTATTATTATTATATACCAGTACACATATATGTTATTACTAAAATTAATATCGCACAATCTTAAGACATGAGTATTATATGTATCTACGAATAAATGCAAATTATTTATTTTATCACAAAAATCATCTCGCTCACAGGTTTTCCTTTCTTCACAAAATTTTCATGATTTCTTGTTTCTTGACTTGTTTTATATCATCATCCAATTGTTCTAATTCCGCCATAACCAGATTGCAAAATAAAGTGTCTGGATCATTCTGCATTTGTGCACCATCTTTTTTAGAATTCAAATGCTCTACAACTGCTTGATTCAAATTAATAAAAGACGCTTCGAACTTATCGTTTTCGAAAGATCACCAGGCAATAAAACTTGACACGTTATTGAAGTTGACAAAACGAACGACGAAAATGCGTTAATTTAAGTCGCTAGGTTAAAATTGTATTTATACGAATAAAAATTTATATATATATATATATATTATTATTGATACAATATGTTCGCGCAAATATGAAATTTTGTATTAATTATTAAAAATTTGATTGTCATTAATTGATAGATTAAAACTTAATTATGTAATTTGACGGTTGCGCTGATACCTAAGAATTTAAATTCGTGGAAATTATTACTAGTAAAAATCACGAATATGCATATACAAAGTAACTGACAGGTGAAAGAGTAATTCGACTGACAATAACAATGTTTATTTATATTAATTAATAATAAAACATATTATCAAAACTTATTATTGTCGATAAAAATTAAAAACTGGACAGATAACGAAGTTCGACAGATGCACTGTCTTCGGATACTTCGGCACTGATATCAATTTTGCTCAGTTCACCTAATTTGTTCACAATAGCGGCCGGCTGGGGTACGTTGGACACGGATATCGCAGGCTGGAACTCCTCCTTGATAACGAGAAATCAAGAGAATGTTTTAATAATAAATTTTTACACCTAAACTGTATATAAAACTTACCGAAAATTATGAGAAGATCCGCTTATTTTGCAATAAATTACAATTTCTGGTGATCGCCTCGGACTCGACGACGTCTCGCTATCCGTCTTCGGATCTTGCACCGATTTAGCTTTCGACGCGTCTTGATTCGAGTTTGCTTGCGTCTTGGTCGCGGAGCTCTGAGCCTTCAGAGTAGAAAGCAATTTGGATACTTCGGCACTGATATCAATTTTGCTCAGGTCACCTAATTTGTCCAACATAGCGGCCGGCTGGGGTACGTTGGACACGGATGTCGCAGGCTGGAACTCCTCCTTGATAACGAGGTTTTGCGTCTTCTCGATAGGCTCGATTTCGTCTTTCGAACTATCCACTATAGTAAGATTACCTCCCTCGTCATCATCATCATCGTCCTCGTCATCCAAATACCAATCTTTGATAATCTGATCGGTATTTTAGGTGCATCGGACTCGTTGTCTATGTTTTTCAAACTGTCCTGAGCCGCGCGTTGCTGCTGCTGTATTCGGCACACAAAATAAAATTAACCTCAAAACACTATGTTTACGAAACTGAGACAATTCACACTAATATAATTATATACGGTCATTGACAGATCGTATTTTCATTACGTTGATAATTAAATAAATTAACTACTTACGTGTTAATCAATATAAATCCGTTCTTTGTTCTTAATCACTTTTCTTTAGGACCGGCTACAATGAGAATTTACGTGCCTATGCCCGTTGCCCGTGGCTATGCATTATGTATTTTTATGTAGATTGAAAATCCAGGAGCCATGGGCAGAATACAGAAACCATAGCGCATGCGCTATGATATCTGCCATTCTGCCATAGGCAGATAAAGTAATACCACAGCGCATGCGCTATGGCTTCTGCATTCTGCCTATGGCTCCTGTAATTTTATGTGCTTCCACCTTTACACCACGAGTTTCTGCGATATTAAACACATCGCACTTTCAGCAAAAAAATTGGAAACCATTAATACTGTTACTTTGAGTAAGTTATCCGACTGTGCTTTAACAAATTCCGTGTTAATTATTTGCCACATTGCAACAAAACAATCGGTAAATACGTAAATACATAAAGTATCGTATAGCAGCAGTTTGAAATTACTGAATCATGACGTCACACGCGGTCTCAGCCAATCACAACGCGTTTTATCCCCTCTCTTTTTACAAGCAGTTTTAATAATTTTGATTGAAAAATTACATTGTTAATATCGTTTTAAAGTCATTCCATTTAATTTGAACAAATATAAGGTTCATGAAAATAATTTTTTAAACAACTTATTTTTTACAAATTGGACACTATTATCGGTTTTTATTATAATAGTATATAATAAGTATATTTTAAATTTCGCGCACTTTACGTCATTGCGCATGCTCTCTCTGATGCTCACGTATATAATTATAAATTCAGTCAAATCGGTGAGTAAACAATAAGGCAAAAACCGACTTTTTCCAAATAAAAATTATAATGAAGATGACATCCCCAAATAACTTTTAATCGATTCTATTTATAGTACACATTAAACATAGTCGCTATCTGCTAATTTGACATTTAATAAAATTTTGTTAATAACAAAAAAATATTATTACCCAAATGTTTAAATAATTTTCCTAAACTTCCCTAAATAATTCTCAAATTATATAAAAAAGAATAATTCAAAAATATTCAATTTGTCTGCTAATTGGGCTACTCTACAGGGGTAGTTATCCCTTAGGGGTGATCGACAGGTTGCGTTCTCTGGTGGCAACACGGGCAATCGCGCTGACTGGCGAGGCGAACCGAGTGCATCCAGGGGTCGCTTCGCGCTGGCGTGGGTTCGTCCGCCCCAGTATCGCGCGTCTCTTCGTGCTGGTCGTTTCTCGTTCGATCTTGTCTCGCGTGTAGTACATCGTAAAGTTATCAGGCGTGAAAATGATCGCAACGTGAATTCCACCACGCGGCCACGGGGTGTTTCTCTTTCTCTCTGTCCCTCACGCGCGCGATAGCAATTGTGTACACATTATTCCCGGCTGATCTGCGCAATCTAGGAGGATGCGGCGCATCGCGGCTCTGCTGAGCCTGCTTGTCTGCGTGTGTAAGTACCGCACCGAACAGAGTAGCGTAGAATGTACCACAAAGCTCTTCCCTCCCTTCCCACTGACCTTCCCGCGGATCTGTCTGCCCGTCGGGATGAATCACGCGGAGGAAAGAGAGCCGATCGAAGTTTCCGTAACGACGTCTCCTTCCTCTCCTTTTTCTCCCTCTTTCCTTTCTCGCGATCCCGCGCCGATCGTTTCGCCGATTCCAGCCCGCTCTGACCGGTTACCGCGCGGTCTCTTCCCTCTTCCTTCTTTGACCGTCCGACGTTGTAATTACGGTTAATTGAGTTCGAATCGCGCGCCCTAGCCGACCGGACCGATTTGAATTCGCAAAGGAAAAAAAAGGAGAGAAAAATCGGAGGCGCGTTACGGAGCGGCCACGAATTAGGGTGTATGAAGTTGGCACCTCTACTTTAAAATTCTGTAGTTTTGATTAGAGTTCCAGTGTCTTTTCGAAGAGTATAGAAGTATTTTTGTTTATAAAAAGAGTTCACGAATCATTCCTTTGCCCTCGCGCGGGCGACTCTCCTACAATCGTCGCGGATTTTATGGCGCTATTGATTCGAAGATAGACCGGACCCGTAGATTCGAAGTTACGCCGGCCGGTCGGATATCGCCAAAGGGGCGGAAGGGTATGATTTCGTGCGCGAAGAAACCGCGGGGGTATCTGGCGAATGCATCGGCACGATACGGTAAACGCGATACGTTACACCGAGAGCATTGTTACACGCTCGATGCACGCTGTTATTTCGCGATAAAATCGCGTAACTCGTTGAGTGAAATATTTCCGTCGTTACCCGACTGCTTTTTGAGCGTACGATTAACATTGTCTCAAGTGATGCATAAAGAGATTTCGGAATGTCTTGCAAGACTTCTTTGATCCCTTCGTCAGAGAAACTATTCTTTCGTAAATGCTTATTATTTTCACTCAAGTCGCGCTTGTACCTCGCGTGAAAGGCATTGTATTATTTTGCGCATAATTGCTTGCATGTCGATTATTCTTGTTGGCACTTTATAACGACTGTTTTTAACGCGATATATACTCTCTAAATCTCATAGAGTAATATATTACTAATACATTACAGTGATTACGATAGTTACTCCAAAAGAGAGGGTTGTCACTCTAATTTGAGTAAATGCGGGCACTCATAATATAGGAGTGAATTTTTCACTCAAATTTTTAGAGCGGCTGCTCTACCGGAGTGATACGATCTCACTCTAAAGCTGTAGTGAATCACGATTTACTAAAGATCGACTGATGAATGACTAACAGAGTGAAATTTTCCACTCAAAATTGTAGACATAATTTACTTCTACAGACACTGATCTACTGCACTCGAAAAGAGTGCCCTTTCACTCCAACTTATAGAGCGCAATTTTACACTTTCTTACAAGTGGCGAATCACTCGAAGTGCACAGAGTCAATTTTCACTTTTCGTTACACTTGCATTTCACTCGTTTTGAGTGATATTTTACTCTTCGACTTTTAAAGAGTAGAGTATTGCGGAATGTTAGCAAATATTACTCGCATTCCGCACAAAAATGACAAATTGGGCATTTGTATGCTACTCTCCCCTCAAACTTTCATCGCTGTCATCGAACTTATGAGTGAGATTTAGAATTATTTCAAACGTTATGTTCTAGACCGCGAATTTAAGAACCTGTTATCCTATCGTTAGTTATCATTCTCTATCAACTATCTCGGCTATCGCACCGCCTTTCAGACAGGATAAAAAAAGAAATAGAAATGAGGGGAAAAGTCACAACTTTCTTTCTGCAACGCAAATTGAAGAATTACGAGGAAAAAAAAGAAACCTATTCTCTCATCTAAATCGGAGCTGGCCAATTTGTGCCCTTCTCGCGGATCCTTCCTCGATTCTCACGAGGACTCGACGGCGAGACGGGATCCAAGTGGTGAGGAAAGGATGCTGCTACTCTCCACCATGACGGTGGTTCTCCTCTCAAAGAGGAGGAACCGGTTCGATAGCCGCGCACACCTACACGAGAAGCGACGAGTGTACGCAGACTCGGCGCACATTGCGGGGAGAGAGAGGGGTGGATGGGGGACGGAAGAGGGAGGTGGTGCGGTATTACGTAGATATATACATCTGTACCCAATATCGGCCACCACCGAAGTTAAGGGGGAGAGAGGGGAGAGACAGGGGGTGCGCGCAATGTATGAGATAACCCTCGAGTACGCTATGGTGCCCCGTGGTTGCTACCCTTCGGTAGATACCCCTCCCCCTTCTCTTCTTCCCTTCACCTTTCTCTCCGCTCTTTCACTCGTCCCGTCCAGGCTGCGCCACTCACCGAGCACCACTTGGCCATTCATCTTGGTCCGGTGCTCCTAATTACACGTCTCGAGTTACGGACGAGAAACCGGGACCGCAGGAGTTCGGGAGACGTCCCGTGCCTCTGAAAGGAAGATAGGGGGAAGCAGGGGACACGTCGGAGCACGGCCCCCCGCGTCGCCCTCTCGCGCGATTATCGTCCTCTTCTCGTTCCCCGTGCGGTGATGAGGTCCGGACTCTCTTTCGCTCTCCTCCTGTTTCTGTTTCTCGCTGGCTCGTCTACCTCCCTCTCCCGCGAACGACGACTTTTTTATACCGCTCGTCACTATGGGTCCTTTGTACGCGGCCGGCGCGCGCGTTTATTTTATACGCCGAATGTTATTCAGCGCGCCGCGCGATTACTCGCGGCGCGGCGCGTTTCACGTCTTCTTCCCGCTCGCGAGTTATTAGTCGCTCGCTCTCGCTCGTATAACGTTCTTCCTCCTTTCGTTGCGTGACGTCGTAAGCGTACGCGTGTCTCGCTGCAAGGAGCGGCATAGAGAGGAAAAAAGAGAGAGAAATCATATTAGCCCTTTGATCCCTTAGGCTGCTGAAACGACTCCGAAAAGAAACAAAGAGAGAAAGAGAGGCTAATAAAGACGCGGGTGGCGCATAACACGTATAAAGAACGAAACCTACGGTCTTTTTTTGGAAACGCCGCCGCTGCGCCGCGCCGCACCGGTCGCCGACACGCCGCACGTAC